AAAAACCCTGCCCTTAATGCACTAATAATTAGTACTGGTTCATGAACTTCAGTACGTTTATGGTATTGATTGAATTACTTCAGTAATATTGAGTATTGAAAAAATGCTATCTACACTTTTATTTATTGATGGTAATGTTAACTGAACTTAAGATTGTGGTATATAGGTTTACTTTTTATGTTTATGAAATGGCTTTGATCGCATAAAAATGTCAAGGAATTGAAAAATAAAACTAACTATCTGTACCAAGTGTGTGTGTGTGTGTGTGTGTGTGTGTGTGTGTGAGTTGATTTTATAAAATTGATATTGAAAAATGTATTGCTCAGGATCGGTTTGTTCAGGATCGGTATTGGTATCGATAGCAGTGTAAACACCTCTGTCCTTCTCTCTAAAAGCCTCATTCATTGACAAACCTACCTGAGACAGACTCACATACACTCTCTCTTCCCATCACACATATTTTCCATGTTTTCATAATATAATAGTGTTGTAGTGTTAAAGTGTTGTATCAGTAGTATAGTGTTGTAATGGTGTGTATAAAAAAAGAAAAAAAAAATGGTGCTTTGCTGCAGTACATGAGACCACATCCAGGGATGTATCCAGGGCAAAAATTTAGCTAAAGTCCCCAAGCTTGAGTAGAGTGGGCCCAGGCCATAATAGTTCTTTGGTCATTAACACGATGTTGCATGCATAGCTTGAAGCAAGTGCTGATTAGATTGCTATCCTAATTGTAGACAAGAGAAAAGACTTTAAATCAATGGTGACTAAGTGGCTGGTTTTGCATGTGTGTCCGGTTTGTTTGCAGTCTCTGTTTAAATGTTGTGCACAGCCGCATCCCAACTGTTTTGGGAGATGCGTCTGGGACTGTCTCCTGTGCAGTGAGGCAGTGTTGTAGTCCAGTCTCCAGTGTTCAAGTCAGAATTGAGTCCAAGTCACCAAAGAATAATCCAAGTCGAATCTGAGTTTAGTCCCTGTTACCTTAGTCGGTCATCAAACACAACTGGCACAGCTCTCATTATTTTATATTCCAAACTTTCTAATGGTGCGTTGCAGAGGTCACACTAGACCTTTTCATTGCCTGTCATTTTGACGGACAGGGTCATAAAAATTATATAAACATAATTTATTACTCCTCAATTTAATTTTCATTTTTTTATAATACATTTATTAGCATTTAATTTTCATTCATTTTGATTTCATTTTTTAAATATATGGAACGACCTAATGTGCAGCCACTTTTCATGTCAACACCACATAAAGCAAATGATTTTTTGGGGGCAGTAACAGCAAAGGCCACTAAAGATTCTGCGGCCAGAGTGCATAAACAAGCAAATATGAAAGTTGCAAATTTACAGAATTAGAGAATTACTGTTAAAATATGAACAACCCATTTACAAGAAGTTGAGCTAACTGAATTGGACTCTGCTGACTACAGACGTTTTTGGCGGGCTGGTTTAACTTTAGTTTAAGTCTAGTCTTTGTGTGAAACTGTCATTTTAGTTTTTATTAGTTTGTCACTTTCATACTTTTTTTTTTTTTTTTTTTTTTTTTTTTTTTTTTTTTTTTAAGCCTAGTCAAGTTTCAGTCAACCAAGTCTGAGCATTTAAGACTACGTTCACACCGCAGGTCTTAATGCTCAGTTCGGATTTTTTGCCGAAATCCGATTTTTTTGCCTTGATATTCACACTGTCATTTAAATGCGACTGCCATCTGTCTCATGTGTGAACAGTATACGGCCCTGAGGTGACCCGCATGCGCAGAAGAGGACGTGACGTCAGATGCAGCGTACTGTGTTTGCAAAAATAAAAATGGATGCGGCTCGTGATAGCATGTGCGTAGTGATGTACCAGTTAATGTGCAATCGAAATAAAGAAATAATAATAAGAAAATCAAGAAGGAGAGCCAAATATTGCTCATGGCCTCGCCTCCTCCAGTGTAGAATTGTGGCGTGTCGCATTTCAATGACATAAAAATCGCATGAAATGCGACATGACCATTCAGACTGAAGTCGCATTGCAAAACATCGGATATGTATCCGATTTAGGACCACATCTGAAAGTGGCCTGGGCCTGATTTGAAAAAATTGGATTTGTGCTGTTCACACTGTCTTAAGGAAATCGGATATGGGTCGCATTTGGGGAAAAAGATCGGATTTGGGCCACTTCAGCCTGCAGTGTGAATGTAGTCTTAGTCTTATTTTACTCAAAATTATCCATGACTATTACTATTATCCATGACTATTTTCATCTAGTTTAGTCGACGAAAACTGTATTTGTCTCTTTTTAGTAATGCAATTCTATTTAACCCAGTCAATATAGCATAAGTACCTAGTTGTATAGACGAAACCAAAATTTTCTCCGGAAGTGATTAGAAGTTCCTCTGAACATGAGATTTCCTGATCCTGACATACTCACTTCACCAGGAGTAATCTGCTGCATGTGCTCCTTCTGCACCCCTGTGATTCGTAGTGGCCACTGACCTGCTCGGTTGCCTCTGGTCAGTTAATGGAACATCTTGTGTATTGCATCGCCATATTTCTCAGCAATTTGATACTTAAAAACTATTTCTAGAGAGGTGGAGTGTATGCTTGATGGAAAAAATACTGTGGATACAGCATGGTGCAAATGAACATGTTTTAATATCAGTATCTTATGCCAAATTATTACAGCCTATTACACAAAAAAAGGGGGGAAAATGCTATATCCTATCCAACTTCCAAGTCCGAATGCAGCCAGTGCTCGAGTACGAGTCCAAGTCTGAGTCATCAGTGCTCAAGTGGAGTCACAAATCCTGGAAATCTGGACTTGAATCTGACTCGAGTACTACAACACTGCAGTGAGGAGACGGTCGTGAATGGGGCTAGCCTACACTAGCCACAAAATGAACATACAGTACATCTATCTATAGTCATTGATTGATGGAATAGTATCGGTTGTTAGGCTGGTTATTCAGGAAAGTTGGAGAATTTAGTAATGGTTAATAATACTTTTAAATATTGTGATGCCTTTTGCTTTATTTAGTTCCCTGGTCATGTGGCACCAGAGCCTTTCACCCCACCACAATGTTATCTTTAATTTGACTAAATAATAAAAGGCATAAACTAAAACAGCAGCAAAGAATACACCCTGGTTTGGGCATGGGCTGTACAGTGTAATGGTATGTGACAGCTTTACCACAGAGGTCAGTTGTGGTTTTAGCAAAACCTCAGCTGAACAGAGCAGTAATATGGCTACAGATGGACCATTCGAAACTTTGCCCTCATTTTGATAAGTATAAATAGAAATTCTTTCTTTCCTTCCCACATTTTCACAGCCAACAAACAGTTATGTTTGTAGGTCTCCAATTATATTGTGAATCTTTTCACAATCTAAGGGACAAAACAGGATCTGGCCTTGAAAGAAGAAAGGTTGACAGCTGACTTTAAGCAATCATGTGACCATTTGAGTATTTCCAGTTATGATCAAATGGAAAATGTCTGTGTATGAACATATAATTTAAATCAGGCTTTAGATATTTATAGGGAGCCACTTATGATAGCTGTAGACAAAGGAATGCAAATGGTTATTTGGTGTGTGTGTGTGTGTGTGTGTGTGTGTGTGTGTGTGTGTTTGTGTGTGTAGCTTTGCTCTCTCCAGGGCTCAGTGCTTAACATATTGTATGTATTGATGCATCTAAACACTAGACAAGTGTTGGTACACGAGGAGTATCAGGAATGGTTTCATTTTGGACATCTGAAATTTAAATTATGACTAGTAACAACTGGATTGTCGATATCTGAAATGGGAGTTGTTCCTAGTAGGAATTCTGACACTGGTTATCTAAAATTGAAAGCCCAGTGCACATGAATGGCAGAAGTGACATCATTTGTCCTAGGAAGAAAGGTGTTGTGGATATCTGGAATGTTCTTTTTGACTAAGAAAAACTGAAATATAGATATCTGCAAGACATATCTAAACTCGCTTTTAAATGTTAAAATGGCTTTCCATAGTTTGCTGTTTGCTTGCTGCTGTCATCTTCCAGCAAAGAATTTGACTGACAGAACAAATGTGGCATGCATTTGTGTCTGACATTTAAATGGTCAACATCAGAATTGTTCTATAGTTCACACTTCAGTTGTTGAACATAACATTTCCATACATTTTCTAGGTTTGACATTATCAGTAAATGAAATTGGCAGTGAAAGTTAGTTGCTGTGATGGAAAAGAGATTTTGCATTCTGTCAAATGACGTGTTATTTAAAAAAAAGAAAAAAAAAAATCTCTGGTCTTTAATGACATCTATTCTCAGCGTTACCCAAACCTATAGCTTTAAAAAAACAAAACAAAAAAAAAACTTATGCAACAACACATCCTTATTAGCATTTCTGTATGAAACATGCAGTAAAGTATTTCTAGTGCTTAAGCAGCCATATAGTATTTCTACAATATGGGTGTTTATGTGCATCAGACAGTTATAAAAATGCTTTATGATGCCTCCTGAAACAGTGACCTTTACAGAAAGTCACTGATCTGTTCAGAATATGATGATATACTGTGTGCAAAAAATGTGTGAGTATTTACACCATGTACACACATGGCTATGTGGCTATGTGTGCACATAGTTACAACTGTGTTTGACATGATGTACAGCCAATAACATTCTGGCCCACCAGATCATCATTAACTCTGATGTACAGCCAAGTGTCGTTATGTATGGTGGCCTGCATGATTTACTGTTGGAGATATACTGAAGTGGTTACTGTAATGAACATGCTGAGCATTTGATGTACAGGTCTCTGCTGGAGGGAGAGAAGTAGATACTATGACCATGATGGCAACAATTACAGTGATGATGATGAAATTTCCCTCTTCACTTTCAGATGCGAGTTGAGTTTCTGGAAGGAGAGGATGAGCAAATGGGGAGGACAACAAGGAGGAGGAGATGAAGACAGCAGTTTGAGGAGATGGAGGAAGAGGAAAT